TGAATTGTTTAACTCATATAGCAAAAGTCCGTCAAGAACCAAGTCTCATTAAAAACCACAGTTTTTATTATTGTTTACGTCTAGTACAAACTTGTAAATCACAGGCACACACTTCTGGTATGCAATAAACATTTTGTTTACTGCAGAAACACCGGGAACAATCCCCTTTCTCACAAGTACAAATCCTTAAACCATTGATTTGATCAGGCCAAGTAGAAATCGATGTCCATTGAATATACAATATATTATCTTGTAAACTAAAGCCATTATTCTCGAATGGTGGTAGAATGGATAGTCTATTTAAAGCTTGTCGCCATATTGTTGATATTAAGTTTGCTCGTCTACAATGTTGTAGCCAAGCATTTGATGTTGGTAATAACTTTTGTAATAACTCAGAAACATCGCCTTTTTTCATGTAATTTGCCGCAGCAACAGCACGAGCATGATCAAGGTTTGACTGACTATTCTTAGCTGCACATAGTAACAGACTTTCTGCAGCTCGTAGTGAATCGCCAGACAAAGGAAAAGTACTTATTTCTAATATTTTTTCAAATTTGTCAACATGGTTTAGAAATGTATCGAAAATTGTTTTCTTTGTAATTCCACGAATGTGTGATGTTATTTCACTGCCAGATAGAGCATGTAACGGTAATAATATTTCGCTTGAAATTAGATATTTAATAAAAAATTCTTTATTTATCTCAGAAACATTAAGATTTTGACTTTTATTTTCTTTATTTCTGGTATCGGATGTAACATTAATCCAGACTTCAGTGCCGATACTATTCATTAATGCAATACCAAGTATAACAACATCCGTATTAGTCGATTTTATAATTGTCATTGAATAATTATCATTCATTTTTTGTGATGCGTTAAATAACAATCGTGTACATAATAATGGTTGATTTGAATTGAGCTCGTCACAGTTTTTGTATCCACTGTCCGTGATAAAAACTGAATTATTGTCAGGTCCAGAGATTATCAATTTTTTACCCGATGGGACCATATAATTTAACCTGCACCATAGCTGGAACGTAAAACGGTCAAAGTTAAATTGAAATTAAGAATGCAATTAAAATTGCGCTACAAGATTCTACGTTTAAAAAGACAGTTCAAACAAAGACGAGATAGGATAAGTTTTCTGAGTGGAAAAACTAGAGATTTCTAATGGAAAGTCTTAGAAAACTATAATTTTTAAGTAAATGTTTTGGAGAACCGAGAACGATCTTATCCTGCACAGGACACTTTTACTCTGTATTTACGTAATTCTAGATTGATCCGGCATACATCTCATCTAATCCAAACATATTTGCTTATAGAAAGACAATTATTTGCCAAAGCGAAGGACCATTGACTGGGCCTATAAGACCATTGAAAATTTTTAGAATATACATTTTGATGTTCAACTAGACTTTAGAAAAGTCTAGTAGAAACCTCTGACTGACCTGCTTAAGACATGCTGCTATAGCATCTTCATTCGAATCGATAAATTCTTGCCACTTCTTAATTTTTTTTGCATCAACAATTTTGTGATGTGGTTGAATTACGGCTTTAATGACATTTTTTGATGATGAAGTTTGTTGAATGTAATCTTTTAATTCAGTGGTAATGTCTGAGTTGAACACAATATCAATTCGTTCCATTATATCAAACGACTCAGTGATAGCTGCCATTGTTTCTATTGCATATTCTTCATATGTTGCTGCCTTCGTCGGTGAAACGTTTACCAATAAATCACTACCATTAATTAATAAATGTATTGGGCATTTTAGTGAAAATTTATCACGTACAACATGTTTTGGAAATAAGTTTTCAAAATATGATACAATTGAATTTCTCTCTTGTGGATGGTATAATGTTCCAGATTCAAAAGATAAAGCTGGCGGTGATTCTATTATCTCATGTTTGAAGATATCAACAAGATCCAACTGTCTATGAGTCTTAATCATTGAAATATTGGATAAAAACATTTGAATTTTCTTCTTTTGTTTATCAGTTTTTGGTTTTGCCATTGGACGACTTATTTCTTGGTAACTTGATAATGTTCGTACGTTATTACTAACAATTTTATCATCATATTTGACTACTTTATTTAGTAATCGTTTGGTAATGAATTCTGTTGCTTGTACAGCACCAACAGAGCCACACGTTAACAGCTCTTTAACAACATCGTCTGGTATAACTACACCAGTTGACAGACGATACAACTGATCACCATCGTTACTCAAAAATGGATTTGTTTTGATTGATCCAGCGATTATTCTCAAATCATTGTTATCACGGTTCATACGGGTAGTTGTATTTTCAATATTTAGTTGGAGGTCATGATTGTCCGTATTTAATAACTGCTCGGTCGTTTTTAACATCATGGCACCAAGAGATTGAGCTCTATAATATGCATGCAACCTATCGTTATCCATTCTCCCTGATATACCTGAAAAAGGATAGGTTGAGGCAAGTTCAAACAGTTCAAATTATGCTGCAGAAAGATGAACATACAATATACAAAATAAAATTTCCCAAGAGGGAAAACTTCAGCGTACTTATTCCTCTACATCAGTAAGCTCAAGCTTTGTTAGCAATCAACGAAGTATTTGGTGATTTCTAATAGAAGTTTTTACTGAATTGATTGGTCAATATTGCTTGCAGCAGCGCTCATCAAGGGCGTATTGTTATTTTTAAAGAGTCCACCTTTTTAGAATTTGTAACATTTGTCTTGTTTTTCATTAGGATTTTTACTTAATAAGGAAAGTTTTCCTTCTGCCCTCTCACATCTGAACATTTCTGTTTACCGGTGAAGATCCATTTTTTACTCATAAACTTTCTGTCATTTTTTTCCTAATGTTTAAAAAACAACCAGTCACAGCAGTTTTATTAGAGACGAAAATCTCCAGTAATTTTGTCCAAGCACGAAAAAATAAAATGCAGCTTTTCAGTGATGTTTTCTGACCCACCAGACTTTGACTTTGATTCTTTGTTAATCGTACATTCAATTGCTTCATCAAACGCCAGTTTTGTAAATTGTTTACCGGTAATCGATGCCGAAACATTTTGTTTTAAATTAGCTGTCAACCAGGCAGAACATGTTTGAATTTCAAATAAATAACTAGATGCCATTTTGGCATATTTATAGTGATTAAAGATGAAAAAATATTTAATAAAACACTGCCAAGCTTCCAGACGCCCTTCAAAGTCACCGCAACGAATTGCTATATAATGTGTAAGTAATGGGTTTAAAAATTGATGTATAATCATATCCCAATATGCAAAATTTAAGTTTTTTGATGCTTTTTCATTTCTCCATTTTTCTAAGCTTGTTATTACATCAGATGTTTCAATTAGTTGTAATACGCGATCATTTGTTTGATCTTTATTAAAAGAGTCGATAAAAACTTTTAACTGGTGGTGATAATGGTTGTTTTCGTCAATAAAGGCTTGTATTTGTGAAGATAATAAGTAACAATAAATTATTTTCAACGAACGCATGCTTTTTTTATAATCATGGACACTCATGATGTTTTTCAGTGTTGTCGGGCTATATAACAATAATAAGGAATCTTCTATTCCAGACCCTTCAAGAACGGTCCATATTATTCCCATAAAATTCTTTGACGTATGCCAGTCGCCTAAATAAGAGAACGACAATCTGCAAAGGATCTGTTAAACATTACGGTAATTCCTTTAGTAAACTATTACTTCCTGAGGAATCTAATTGATACCTGTTTTTCCCCGTTCTATCTTAATGTTCAGAAAATTATCTCTTCAGAGGACCCCTTCGAAGTTTTTTGTTTTGTCCCCTCTGCTTTTTCTGTCGAGTTCGGTGTGAAAGTCTGCTAACTAATAGTTGTCTCTCTACTGCTTGACCATTGATGATAGTTTTGGCAAGCAGTCAGTGATGATGATTCTGTTAACACTACTACTTATTCTATTCTATGACTGCGAAGATCGGCATATTTAAGCATGTTACAATAATGTAAGTTTACTGATTTGCTTTATGAAATGTTCTTTTTACACGATTTTGTTTAGTATTTTAGTACTATAATCCTGATGGTAATAACCTGTTTGAAAAAACGACTAACAAAATTTTTTTCTGCTAGTTTTCGTGCAATAATTCTCACATTCTGTGAACGTTATTTAAACC